TAACCAGCAATATCATCATCATCATCATCATCATCGTCACCATGACGAACAAGAACATTATCAGCATCATCATCACCATCATCATTATCATCGTCATCATGATCATCATCAACATCCTCATGACCATCACCACCATCATCATCATCATCATCATCATCATCATCATCATCATCATCATCGTCATCATCGTCATCACAACCATCATCATCATCAACATCATCTTCATCATCAGCATCGTCACCATCATCATCATCATCATCATCATCATCATCACCATCATCATCGTCATCACCATCATCGTCACCATAATCATCAACATCACAACCGCTATCATCATTTTCACTATCGTCATCGTTATCATAATCAGCATCATCATCATCATCATTATCTTCATCAACCGCATCATCAGCAGCAACATCATCATCATCATCATCATCGTCATCATCGTCATCATCGTCATCATCGTCATCATCGTCATCATCATCATCATCATAATCATAATCACCACCGCCATCATCAACTTTTCTCTCGCTCCTCGCTCCTCCCCCTCTCCCGCCCCCTCCCCCTCCACTTCCTCATCCTCCTCCTCCTCCTCCGCCTCCTCCTCCCCGTCCTCGTCGTCCTTGTCCTGCTCCTTCTCCTCCTGCTCCTCCTCCTCGTCCTCCTCCTCTGGTGCTCATCGTTGAAGCCCCTTCTTGAGAGCGGGTCGCCCTCGGGAATCCGAAGAGTTCTGGCCTTGCCCAGGGGCCCAGAGTAGAGGGCAAAGCAGCCGCCTCCATAAGAACCACCTCGACAAGCGATGCCGTCTAGCAACCGCACCCAGAGAAGGAGTCGAACGCAGGGCAGGACTTTTAGTCACCGCCCAGGGCTGTTTGGTAAACGCCCATTGTCCGGTCCGGGTGGTTTCTCCTCCCTTGACAAGAGGGGGCACAGAGACGGTGGTGCCTCGCGCTGCGCGTGATACGGAGCGCGACCCGTGGGAGCGGCAGAGGCCGCGAGAGGACAGGCAGCCCAGCCGCACCGCGAGTTGAGGGCCGCATGCCATGCGTTTGAGCCTAGGCTTTGAGCCTAGGCGGAGCTTGAGCGAAAAATTAAAAATACTCAGAGAATATCTAAAACTATTATCAACAAAAAAATAGAAACATCGTCTCCTGGCTATTTTTCGATTATTTTTGAAGATTGCCCCTGTAGAGGGACAGGCCCGACTTAAGACTAGGTCACCCTCTGGAGCGCGAAGACGCGTGCACATCGCGCTTCGAGATCAGGGTTATACGATCGCCCACTCCTGGGAGCCTCGTCCGGGCGCACAGGACACTGTGATTCGCGCTGCTTGCGGTGCTAAGCACAAGTCACCGGGCGACCTGGTGCCCACTGGAAGCAGCAGAGGGTGCGAGAAATCAAGGCGACATAACCGTCGGCAGCGCCGTCGATCTTGATCGTGCATCATTTCTGCATGCATGGTATTGACGAGCCAACAACACACACCCATACCATAGGGGGATCGGAGAGGGCTATGGGTGCGTGCTGTCGGATGGGGGTCCCCGCTCGAACGGGAGCGTTCCCCAGGGTCCGACAACCCGCACCCATACCCATAGCCAGTGCTCCTCCCAACGACTCCCCTACGGGTATGGGTGCGTGTTGTCCGTTCGTCATGGTATCGTGCGTGTCCTGCGAATCTGCAGTCGCGGCACCACACCTGGGGCCGACCAGAAGCAATCCTCACTGCGCCTCCTCGCCCGTCGGTCCTTTTTTCCGTTATGGTTTTTTGATGGGGTGGAGGGTGGGGCGGGGGTGAGGGGTGGGAGGGTGGGGGGGGTTAAGAAAGTATTATCATCGGGAGCTGGAGTCGCCATCTTCATGCCATCGCATGCCACTTGTGTGCAGACGCTGTCTGGTAGCTGGAAGTTGCCATCCCACTAATGAGAGGTACCTGACAAGAGCGACAAGGATGACCATTCTTGGCACCGTGGAGTCACGCACACACACACATGCCCTAGCCGTACATTTTCACCAACGACCTTTCGCTGACTGACTACTTGCCATCCTCCATGCTTATCAAACTGCCAGCTTTGAAGGCCTACCGGAGGGCCTCATCACAGGGTATTCTCGAGGCGTGTCGCAACCTGCGAGATGGGGCTCTGGACATGCTTCCCCCCACGTGGATAACTTCTGCCTCAGCCGCTGGGTTCCCTCAGATATGACCGAAGACAAAGTAATGGTCGCGGAAGACCTCGGCAGCCGTCTCATGTGTGCGTGTGTGGCAGTACCACCCAAGAGGGCCACGGAGACGCCGTCACCGAGGATAGAGATCCCCGAGCACCCTTTTCTGGCAAGGTTCTGGCCATACTCGCGACCTCAAGGATGTGGAAGGTGTCGACATAAAACGGATGCGGAAATCCACCATGCGCCGCGCGATTCGGCGGCGAGCCAGCTGCAACAACGCCCCCTCAGCTTGTCTGATGGTCGCTTCTCATCCTAATCTCACCAGCCCTTGCGGTGT